TCTGTATGGTTCTAGCTATGAACAAGTTCAGATTCGTTCACATTCTTCTTACGGCGATCTGCTTTTTCCCTCCCCCGATCGCCGCAAGAGGCGGCCACTCCGACTATATCCGGCCAGGTCCGCCGCACAAACCTATAGTTTCTTTTTTTTTTGTCTTCAATACCTAATTATTATTCCTACCGCACGAACCTATAGTTTTCGTCTCTTGGATTGATTACTTCCATCATTGATTGCGCTTGATTTGAATTGGCATATGAACGTTAATTTCATATATAAGAAGAAGAGACATAATTTGGTTTAAGTTTAGCTATTATCATCTCGTCGAAGATTACATTTACAGTTTTAGATTCTTTGTTGAGGTTTTATGCATTATCTGCATTACTTGCTTGTGTATATTGCAGTGACTTGGTTAATTTGTGTATTAGGTGATGGGAATTTTAATTTCCATGGTGTTGCGAGGAACTTATTTTCCCAAGTAGAGCCTCGACCGAGGTAATGTCGTTTGGGGTTACAAGCTGTTACTGGGATTTCCTTACTGTCTGTGTGATGATAGCTGTGTTTTTGTTGTTTGAAGTGCGGAATTAACTCGAGGATACATGACGAATGATGATCTTGAGAAAGCAATGAAAGGTTTCACCAAGAGATGCAGCAAGATCTCGAGATTATACAGGTAAATTTACTTGGCTTACACTCTTATGAAGAATAACTGATGTGCTCAGTACAGAGCAATCGTTAACACGTCACATTTACCAGAGTCAATATGTTTGGTTTGGTTTAATAGGGCCTTTTATAGTGTTGTTGATTTTGTTCTTTATTTCTCTCTTCGAGGGTTTTCTGGAATGTGCTTTCAGCATCGGAAAGAGTGTAAATGGATTTCCTTTGGTAATGCACTCTTGGCTATCAGAAGTGAATCTTCTTGTTTTTTTTAAAGTGTGTTTAAGATCGCTATCGATGATGTCTTCTTGTGCTTGTATCTTGCTTTGCCTTTTTAGTGGGTCATAGAGATTTCAGACAGGCCTGGAGAGATAGAGGCTGAACCTGCGTTCAAGGTAGAAATCTGCCTAGATGATTCTTCATGCTTTAATCTGATTGGATTCCTTTCTGATAACTGGTTGGTAGTGCTTTTATTTGCTTGGAATCTAATAATTGAATAACTGGTCACGCAGTACATTGGGAATGTCCATGGAGATGAACCTGTAGGGCGTGAGCTCTTACTACGTCTTGCAAACTGGATTTGTGATAACTATGGAAAGGATCCATTGGTAAGTGGTTTTTTTATTCCACCATGTCTTGGCCATGATAAATTGAACACTCATCTGCAATAAAGTTGACGAAGATAAGGTTTTGGGCATATATTGATATTATCCCTTTTGGTATGCAGGCTCAGATGATTGTAGAAAATGTTCACCTTCACATATTGCCATCATTGAATCCAGATGGCTTTACAGTCAGGAGACGTAATAATGCAAACAATGTGGATCTAAATCGTGACTTCCCTGACCAGGTTGACTTGTCTTGTCTGATCGTGCTTATCACACTCATAAGTAGTATTTTCATCCATGCTTGAGTAAAAATCATGAATGCTGTTAATTGCATGACAGTAGTTAAATCTGGTTGGTTTTGGTTTTTCATAGTGATGTTTAGCTTGCTTAACTCATAACTAATGTTGCAGTTCTTTCCCTTAAATGAGGACTTGGATTTGAGACAACCTGAAACTAGGGCAATTATGACGTGGCTGAGTGATATACGATTCGCAGCATCGGCTACTTTGCATGGGGTAATTTCCTCGACAGTTTTCTGTTAAACCTTTTACATACTATCCTGTCTCAAATATTCCCGGTTTAAAAGTTTTCTTTCAAGAATCTCTAAGGGGTTTTAATTTAACGTCTAGTAGAAAATCATGATTCAATGTGAATATAATATTTGTTAAACCGCGGTATATTACAGGGTGCCCTGGTAGCAAATTTTCCATGGGATGGTACGGAGGATAAAAGGTTTGCTTCTATTCACAATGATTTTGTACACAATGCGAGGCTCTTGACTTGTTTATGCAATGCAAAAATCATGTAGCAGTTCTGCATTCTTCTTGCAGGAAATACTATTATGCATGTCCTGATGATGAGACGTTCCGGTTCTTGGCACGTATTTATAGCAAATCTCACCGTAATATGTCTTTGAGCAAAGAATTTGAGGAAGGAATCACAAATGGAGCATCCTGGTATCACATCCACTTCCTCTGTCTTCTCCAACAAATGAGTTTACGTTAATGCTTTTTGCAAAACGTCCTACAGGTACCCAATATATGGTGGTATGCAGGACTGGAATTACATACATGGAGGATGCTTTGAATTGACTCTGGAAATAAGCGACAATAAGTGGCCTAAGGCCTCAGAGGTCAAATCTTATATTCCTTGTGTTACTATTAACTGTTTCTCCTTTACTTGATAGTTAGCAGTTAGCTGATAGAGTTTGCATCTCTTGTTCAGCTTCCCACCATTTGGGAGTACAATAGAAAGAGCATGCTGAATCTTGTTGCAAGCTTAGTGAAGGTACTACCATTTTAATCTTTGCTTTCAGAACCCAACGTTCTAATCTTGTTGTGTCGTTTAGATTGAGCCGCTAGATAATAGTTACATTAATGGAAGATGTGTTCTGTGTGACCTCCTTTTATATTTTTATTTACTTTTTGTCTTTTATGAAGTATGCCCTCATCGCTTTACCTTAGACAGGAGTTCATGGGCGGATCTTTTCATTAGACCAGGGAAAGCCACTGCCTGGGCTTGTTGTTGTCAAGGGAATCAACTATACGGTATACACATATTAACCTTGCTTTCTGGAATTTCCTTACTCCAAAATCTGATATTTTCTGTTAGTTCTCAATACTCATCGTAATCCTTATCCGCTCCAGGTTAAAGCCCATCAAGCGTTTGCAGACTACCACCGCTTACTTGCACCTGGACGGAAATATGAAGGTCTGATGATTTTTCCTTACATTCAGCTGAAAATATGTGATTATGTTACTAATTTGAAATCTCTATTTAGACTTGAAATTGATTGAGTTCTTATCGGTATGATATTAGACTTGTCCACCAAAATGATCTCTCTTCTTTTAATCTCAAATCCTTGTTATTTCTTAATCCTTGATACTGATTTGCAGTCACAGCATCTTCCCCTGGATACAAACCGAAAACAACGAGTGTTTGGTTAGGTGACGACGCTGTTAACACGGATTTCATCCTCATCCCAGAAGCAAGTTCCCGAGGCAATCTACTGAGAAGCGTCTGTGACTGTAGCGGTCAGCCGATTCTAACGCACTTTTTCACAGAGACGAATAACGGAATCACGTTTGCCCTTATCGTGGTTGTAGCGTTCCTGTGTTTTTTGTTACAAAGAAGGGTGAGATTTAACCTCTGGAAGCAAAGACAATCATCTAGAAGATCGGTAACAGTATGATGTATAGGTATAGTAACACATCTCTATACTCTCTCGAATAAGCAAAACCAGAATCCGAACATCTGAGCCCATTCCTCGTGTAGTTTATTTCATAGGTTTCAATATCAGTAAACATTTTCTTTCAATCATACTTGGAAAATAAAAGTTGTATTGATGTGTGTTTTGGTGTTCAAATCGTCTCTAGTGCCAATCTATCTTTAAAGTCTCTTGTACGACCAAGTCACGAGTGCGACATTGTCGCCAAAATTATGTCATGGACATTAAACACTGTATACCGAAGAAATTCAAGCTGATTAAGTGGTTGGACTTGGATAAGATTGTTGCTATTAAGGCAAATAAAAATGCGTTAGTCAAATGTAAATCTATTTTTGTGGTTACACACAGCTTTCAATAAGATTTTCTTATTACTTTTATGCACAATTGGACATTGCTTTCTTTATATATCATCTCATTTTGCGAACGAGCTTTATCTAGAAAGTAGTATTCTGGTTTTATTATATAAAAAACCTTTCCTTTTTTAAGTTGAATCATTTGTATTATAATGATTGATGATACCATCCATATCTAATAATACTCTATGAAGAAATAATACTGAAAAAATTTCGGGATATTCACTTCTACGAGATAACGGTTGACCTGTAACAACAACTGTAATATTCATCCGTTGACTTTGACCTTTCTTTACAATATGAACGCCTCGTTACGCCGTTGACTTAACGCCCATAAATTTTCCACGTGTACATTCCTAATTGGCTCCGACAAAACCGTCGGTCACAATAACCGTTTTAAAAAAACACCATTCAGTCGCTTGAAAAAGGCCAATTCGTATCACACACGGGAACAAAACTTACGAACGCCGAAATTACGCGTTTTTCTGGGTTTTTTTTTTTTAATTTTTCTTATATAATCAAAATACCCAGAAACGTAATTTCGTCGCGTTTCAAAACTTTAATTCCCAGATTATTTCTTTCCATAAAAAACAAAGATTCCCAGATTTTTGTGGATAATCTTCTCTCTCACAAAAGAATTCGAATCTTTCTTCACCTTTTTTTCTGGGTTTTATTTCTCTGCAACAGAATCTCAAATCTCTCTAATAGTCCAAATTTACAGAATCCAAATTCCTCCTCCCAAAAAAAAAAAATGGCGATTAAAACGAAGACTAGTTTGATTCCGAGTTGTTCTTCACCAGAAGATCTAAAACGCGTTTTGCAAACGCTAGGTTCGAGCTGGGGAGATGTAGTCGAAGATCTAGAGCGTCTTGAGGTCGTTCCTTTAAAAGGAGCTATGACCAACGAAGTTTATCAGATCAATTGGCCTACTTTAAACGGCGAAGATGTTCACCGGAAAGTTCTTGTTCGGATCTACGGAGACGGCGTTGACCTTTTCTTTAACAGAGATGACGAAATCAAAACCTTTGAGTGTATGTCTCTCCATGGTTATGGTCCTAAGCTCCTTGGTCGTTTCTCTGATGGTCGTCTTGAAGAATTTATCCACGCAAGAGTACGTTTTCTTCTTTTCGATTTTTTTTTTACTTTTTTTTCTTGAGAAACAGAGATTAGGGTTTGGTTTAGTTAGTGGAATCAGAGTTTATATTGTTTGTGTTTCAAGAAAATCAAGAAATGATGCGAGAGAGAGATTGTGTATGTTATGACATGAATCTGTTGGTTTTGGTCCGTTTACCAGACTCTTTCTGCAGATGATCTTCGTAAAGTGGAAACATCTGATTTCATCGCTGCGAAGCTAAGAGAGTTTCACATGCTTGATATGCCTGGTCCAAAGAACGTTATACTCTGGGAAAGACTCAGGTAAAACAAGTCTCATTTCTTTGTATGTGTAAAGACCAAATGTTTTTCTTGCTAATCGCTTTGTCGATTTTTTTCAGGACATGGCTTAAGGAGGCTAAGAACTTGTCTTCACCGATTGAGATGGATGAGTTTCGTTTGGAAGCTTTGGAAGGTGAAATCAACTTGTTGGAGGAGAGACTGACTCGAGGTGATCAAGAGATCGGTTTCTGTCATAACGATCTTCAGTATGGTAACATCATGATTGACGAAGAAACAAACGCCATTACAGTCATAGTAAGCTTTTCATATTATGAAAACCGGAAACTTTCTCCTCTCCATCAAGAAAGTTCTCTGTTTTTTTCATCATTTCAATTCTTGATTGTAGGACTATGAGTATTCGAGTTTCAACCCGATTGCTTATGACATCGCGAACCACTTCTGCGAAATGGCTGCGAATTACCATTCAGACACTCCTCATATTCTGGACTACACTCTATATCCAGGTCTATATCCGTTAAAAAACAAACATTTATCGCTTTCGCTTATGTTACTCGGTAGTTGATAGAGTCTGATTGTGTGTGTATGAATGATAAACGAAACAGAAGAAGAAGAACGGAGAAGGTTCATTACCACATACCTTGGCTCTACAGGTTTTTTGTCCTTTGAAGCATTAGTTAGTTACTTCTTCACACACCTCAAGAAAAAAACCTCTTCTCTTAACCAAATACCTAATCCTCTTTTTGTTGATCTCAGGGAAAGCAACAAGTGAAGAAGAAGTGGAGAGGTTATTGAGTGATGCAGAGAGCTACACTTTAGCAAACCATATCTTTTGGGGATTATGGGGAATCATCTCGGTTCGCTCTCTCTTTCTTTTCCTTACTTCTCTAAACTCTTAAGATACTTTAAGCTCGGAACTTTGTAGTAATCTCTAGTGTGTCATTGATGCAAAACAGGGTCATGTGAACAAGATTGAGTTCGATTACATGGAATATGCAAGGCAGAGATTTGAACAGTACTGGCTTAGAAAGCCCTTGCTTCTGGATTTACCTTAAAAGGATGAAGAAGATTCGCATTGAACCGGATATACAAATTGAAAATTTCTTAATGTTTTTGTGATTAGATAAAAAGAAAAATAATATTTAGGTGAACTATGTTGCTATTGTACTTTTCATGTGTTTTCTTCTCTTTTGTATATAGAGGTTTAAGGTTTGTAAACTTTCAAAGCCAGTACACTTAAACTCTATTAAAAAGAAGATATATACAAAATTAGACATGAAGCACCAGTGGTCTAGTGGTAGAATAGTACCCTGCCACGGTACAGACCCGGGTTCGATTCCCGGCTGGTGCATCTCGTTTTCTGTTTTCCAATTATTTTGCCTTGACGGGAGGAAAAAAAAAGATCAAACTCTTTTGCCTGCTTGTTTTTTTACTAGGAACCACTGATAATAATCATGAATGAAAAATGTTCTTGATTTCATTATATATATTATCAACTAAATTTACAATCGTAAACCAAACATAAAACAAAGAAGATACAAACTATAGGAATGTGAACGTTTTCTCAGTGTGATGCATCAGTAAACGACATGAGATTTATAAAACCTAACCGTAGAAAGAGAATGCCTCTTTCGCCAATACTTCATATGCAAAAACAAACAACAAATCTTCGTTTCTCTTCCTTGTTTGTTATTCTTTTAAACAATGACGGCCACAAGTTCCTCGTTCTCAATCTCTGCATCCGTAAATGTCAATGCTCGTTGAAGCTTTCGAGCAGAAAACACCTCGACTTCAGCCATGTATATCGCTGTAACTGGACGATGATCTGAGAATCTCTGTTCCGTTCGCCTGTAATGAACCAACCTCATTCCGTTCCCGTATGATAGTACTCTATCACACCAAGCTGGTGTTCTCCTCACCGCCTTTCCATCATTTCCGGTGTACTCATCGGAATTCGCTTGGTACTTGTAAGTCGGTGCAAAATTTAAAGTTCCTTCTGACCATCCATCAAATGCTCGACCTTTCCTGTATTCCTTTACCAGCTGCAATATGTAATTCATAATTTGAGTCAAACAAATAGGTTGAGGAAACTCTCTAGCTATCATCGACTTGTAATCGTTTTTTTTAAGTCGCATTTGGGATTGTATGTGTGTGTTTATTGTTTCTTTGCTAGAGATTGTATTTGAGATCCAAATCCTAACAGTTTATTTTTACCTGGTCATGTTCAAGCAACTTGGACCATTCTTTCTTTGAGATTAAGTCTCCGGTCTTCTCATACGATAGATTCAGCCGGTAGTTGAGGTCGCCTAACCAGATTATTCTTCTGCAAAGAGGTGAAAACAGAGTTAAGTATAGAAATCAAAACTGGTTTTTTTTTTTGTGTAAGCAGAAGAGTAAGAGACAGACTCGTGATCATAGATAAGCTTGGGAAGTCCAAGAGCTGAGACAGAGTGAAAGATTGTTCTTCTATGTATCTCGTGAACATCGGCATTTCTTTTGATCTGATCAACCTCTCTTTCTCCTGCCGTCAAATGCGTGTTTATGAAACAGAAGAACGTCTGATTTATCGACATGCTCACGGACACAGCTCCCTGCAAACAAGTGTTAATACTTTATTTACAATGTTTTGAAACTATTGTAGCATAAATTTGATTTGAATACCTAATCATTTATATACCTTGTTACCAATATAACCCATGATGCCAACTCCAACCGTAGAGACTCGAACATTTTGAATGTGTTTTCGCAGGCTTCGTTTAACCCAAATAGTCAAAAGAATCCCAACCATTTGTTTACTCACTAGCCTCACATAAGCCGGTCTTCGTTTCCTCTCCATTAGCAACGTCAGGTCCATTTCCGCTAGAGCCAATACCTCAGGCGGTATCCCGCTGTTGCTTCCGGCTACAGATTTGAACGAACTGTAAGCCTTGAAAGATTTCGATGTTGTTAGTGACTTCACTGACTTTAACGACGGCTGTCTATCGAGTACGCACAAGGGTCCTAACATGTTCAAAGGCGGCTCAGGCCAGCTCAAACCGATCCGTTCTTTCCCGCTTAGCATCCGGTTTATCGTTTTCATACCGGTTTCAGCGGTATCCTCCTCGTTCATATTCTTCTCAATGCTATCAACACGTAAACATATCTGTCTGTCTAGATGCTTCTTAGGAGACGAGAACTGTCTGTCTAGATGCTTCTTAGGAGACGAGAACTGTCTTTCTAGATGCTTCTTAATCTCAACAGCCGGTGAACCGGAATTCGGGTCAACAAGAGTGTTGACTTCACTGATAACTCCACCATCATGCTTTAACTCTCCAAGGGTTTCGCTTTCTTCCTCCTCGTCAATCGGGTGAACCTCAACCCCTGCGTCACTATCAGTCTCGTAAGCTACTTCTTCCTCTATAACATCATGTGTTTCCTCAAAAGGTTTAAATCTTCCCGGAGATGGTGGATCACTGTAACTCTTAACCCCAGAGAGTTTCGGTCTAACTCTGTTCAATGCTTCTCTGATCACTTCTTCCCATTTCGCAACCGGTCGATTATCTTCAGCTCCAAGTATGTTTCCAGCATTCAAAGGTACAATCTCTTGCAAACTTCATAACCACAAACAAAAAGTAACATGATTTAGTAAATGAACAGAG